TTATTTAATAACTTTGATAGATATGTAATGAAGAGATATGTATTATTTCTGATCGAGGGATTTATAAATAACTTATTACTGCTGACTACTTTATCCACAAATTTCACAAATAAATGTAAAACTATAAACAAGAGTGGTAACACCTGTAAATAAACTACATGGGTCACTAGTAATTTTGAAATACATGTTTAATGGTATTGTCGATTTGGAGGTCTGTGGAGAGTATTGATAATGATAATGGCAACGGCAGAGGGCATGCCAACGAAATAGGTACAAAAAACTAATATATATATATATTTTTATCTCTTAATCTTAATTAATACTTAGTTAAGATAAGAAGGAAGATAGATTTTTCCTTTAACTGGATATTTTCAGAAAGTAGTCATTTGAAAGAGCCAAGAAAAGAGGTATTTAAAAAAGCTTGGTAACTTTTCATTCTTCTACTACTGGATATAAGTTAGTGGAATAGTAGGCATACAATAATGTTTACTACATCTTACTCTTCTAGTAAAGCACACACACACGCGCGCGCACGCAACATACATAAGTGTAATATGAGTTCTCCTAAAAGCTACAATATAATTCTAGTAACAGTATCACTTATATGTTTCTGTGGTGCAGTGGTTAGCGCGGTCGCCTCCTACGCGACAGACTCGGGTTCGATCCCCGACGGATACTAGCCTCAAGGATTTTTTTTTTTTTTTTTTTTTTTTGCATGAATTTTTGTTTGTATTTCTATTGACCTTCCGTTCCATATGCATTTCTACTTTTCTTTCTCTTTCCCCGGTGTTTACAATAAGAAGGAGCATGAAGAAATTTTGTTTGATTTTGGATTTTTTAATTTGCTTGGCTGTTTGTTAGTGTTTATGCGCATTTTCACAAGTTTGTTATCATATTATTAATATGAGAAGCAAAGACTGGGAGGAGGAAGAAGAGGACGAACAAGTGATGAAGATAAAGAAATAAAAATCAAGACGGAGTAGGAACGGTGGAAGGAAGGAAAGAGGCAAAAAGAGAAGCAAATTTTGCTTTTATTATCTTGCTTAACCCAAATGTTCCGGTCGTCGGCTTATGCCGACGGCCGGCAAATACATATTTTTCCGGGCGTCGGCATGAGCCGACGATGATCTTCGACGGGTTCAGGACGGGACCGACCTGCCGTCGGCCATAGCGACGGCGAAATTTTATCCTCGGCGTTCACATGGAGATGTGTTATCCCCCCTCCCTTCCCCCACTGCCGTACATGACAAAAGTTTCTTTTTTTTCTAACTGCAATTCACTAATCCGTGTGTTAGCAATAAGATCAGCTTCTCACCCTCCTCCCACTGGCCCACCTGCAGGAGGGGAGGGAAGACCTCGGAGAGGAGTGGTGCTTAGCGCATTATGCCGTCACGGTCATTGACAATCAAAATTACCTGCTTGACCAGTTATGTGACCTCTGTCAGGTGAGGCGCGTCCTACCTTTCCATATTCTGCTAAAAAGAATAAAAAGATAAAAATTGAAGCTATGGGGGAAAGGAGGCGGGGACACATCGGGAATCAGGGATGGTACGCACCAGGTGGGACGGAGAGGGAAGGGGGGAGGGAGGACCTCGGGATGTAGGAGGGGCGGGTTAGCATTAGGGGGGTCTGTGGGGGGGGGGAGAGGGAAGACCACGGGTAGGGTGACCCACGTTGACCAATGGCCAGGTGGGACGGAGAGGGAAGGGGTCACGTGACCTCTTGTCAGGTGGGGCAAAGGGGGAGGGAAGACCTCTGGCTGGAGGGGCCTCGCACCAGGTGGGACGGAGAGGGAAGGGGGAGGGAGGACCTCGGGATGTAGGAGGGGCGGGTTTGCATTAGGTGGGTCTGTGGGGGGGAGGAGAGAGGGAAGACTACGGGTAGGGTGACCCACGTTGACCAATGGCCAGGTGGGACGGAGAGGGAAGGGGTCACGTGACATCTTGTCACGTGACCTCTTGTCAGGTGGGGCAAAGGGGGAGAGGGGGAGGGAAGACCTCTGGCTGGAGGGGCCTACCACCACCCCCTCTTCCCGAGGTTTCACCTTCCCCCCTCCCCATAGCCCCAACTGACAAGAGGTCACGTAATTGGTCAACGTGGGTCATTCTGATTGGTCAATGACCGTGAAGGCGGGAGCAGAAAGTCTATAAATAGGGGGAGGAGGGTAATTTTTTCATTCCAGGCCAGACTTTTGTCATTGCTGATCGATCTTCTGATAGCATATTGAAAATGTCCCGCCAACTACGAACCCAACGCTGCCGCTCGTCAAAGTAAGAATAATGATGAATAATGCTAACATGGTTATTTGGTGTAATGTATATACTTTTCTTTCTTCTTTTATGCCTTTTTACTTCTTTTTTGAGATTCTAACTTTGTTTTTATTCTACAGGTACTCGCATGCCGTAAGGAACCTTTACGACTCCGACCCTGACGACCCCAGACCATCAACTTCGGGAGAGGGCCCGAGACGGTTGAGGAATGCTCCGGAGTCTCACTTCTACCTCTATGAGACCGCGTCTGGTCGAGGAGAGAGATGAGGGTGGCTCTCGACTCCTCAGCCCAACCTGCCAAATCTGGACGATCCACCGCCATTCCCAACATCCCAGACTCCGACTGGGATATGGATGTTGACGATTCTGACGACGATGCCGACTACTCGCCGGAGGCAACGGAGAGCGACGCCGACTGGGAGGAGTTTGATTACGTGTCGTCGCATGACACGTCCATCGACTCCGACGAGCCGTTGTCAGCTGTTGCACGTCGGTTTGCTATGAGGAACGCTCCAGGGACTCCGGGTTTCGTCTGGAAGAAGAAGAGGCCTTTCGTGCGCCGTCACCCCTTCCAGGGCGTCCCAGGGGTCGAAGAAGCATGCCTCCTGCATGCCGACTCGACGGCAAGAGAGATCTTGGACTGCTTCCTGACACCGGAATTGTGGGACACTATGACGAGGGAGACCAACCGGTATGTGGAGCAGAGGCCGGTCACCCCATCTTCACACATGAAGACTTGGGAGAATACGACTGTGGAGGAGCTGCAGTCATTCATTGGCCTCCGCCTGCTCATGGGCCTGCAGCCGCGACCGCATTCGCGGTATTATTGGTCGAAGAACCGGTTGCTTTCCTCGTCTGTGTTCCCTGAAACGATGACCAGGGATAGATTTGATTTACTGCAAAGTCGGCTTCACTTCTCGGACAACGAGGACCCCCGTGCCGACACCGACCGTCTGTGGAAGCTGCGACCGGTGTTGGATATCCTCGATACGACGTTCAAGACGGTCTATATCCCTGACAGGAAAATCGTGGTTGATGAGTCGCTGTGGGCGTTCAGGGGACGTCACCACGCGATTCAATTCAACCCGACGAAGAGGGCGCGGTTCGGGATGAAGGTATATCGCCTGTGCGAGAGTGATGGTGCTGGTGCTGGCTACACCAGTGCCTTCAATGTCTACATGGGCCAGGACCGCGGCGACGTACCTGCCAGCATGAAGGCTGTGACCGACCTCATGAACCGCGCCTGCTTCTTCGAGAAGGGTTACGAGCTGTACTTGGACAACTGGTACAGCTCCCCGGAACTTTTCCATTACCTGTCATCAAGGAAGACGAACGCCGTGGGAACAGTTCGGCTGAACCGCAAGTTCATGCCGAAGGACCTCAAGGTGAGCGCCCGCGGCGACGTCGACTTCCGGACTTCGGCGACGGGGATGTTGGCTATGTCTTGGATGGATCGGAAGCCGGTGCATATGCTTTCTACCATCCACGGCCCAGACATGGTTGACCTGCCCCCAAACCGCCGTGGTATAGTCCGGACGAAGCCCCAAGCCGTCGTTGACTACAACGTGGGGAAGAAGGGGGTAGACCTTGCCGATCAGTTGGCCGCGTCGTACTCCACAACCAGACGAACTAACAAGTGGTACCAGAATGTGTTTTACCACTTGCTCGACATGGCGGCGGTGAATGCTTTCGTGGTTCACAGGGCGTTGGGTGGCACCCTGACCCAGCTTGAGTTCCGCCTGGAGATCATAGCTAACTTCCTCGATCAACCTCCGGCCTACGGGAGAAGGGGTGCCTTCGGACGCCTCCTGCTGCCACCCCATCGCCTCCTCGCCGCCGGAACGCCCCACGTCAGCAGCAGCGCCAGCAGGTACCACAGGGCCACGTCCTGGCTTTCAATCCAGGGCGAAAGTACCGCTGTCGTCACTGCCGAGTAAGCCGCAACGTGAGGAAGGAGACGCGCTACAGGTGTGGCAGGTGTGATGTCTCACTGTGCCCGGCAGATTGCTTCAATCTGTGGCACAGCCCCCTGTAGCGAGGATGCGGCATCACCCACCTCTCCGATAGCAGCAGGCTATCGTTTTCGAAACAGCGCAGGAAGATCCACGACGCCACATCCAGTGGCAAAAGGAAGATCCATGACGCTGCCTCCAGCAGCAGGAGGACCCCTCACGCCGCCTCCAGCAGCAGGAGGATCTCTCACGCCGCCACCAGCAGCAGAAGGACCTCTCACGCCGCCTCCAGCAGCTCTCACGCAGCAGCAGCTCTCACGCTCTCACGCTCTCACGCCGCCTCCAGCAGCAGCTCTCACGCCGCCAACAGCAGCAGAAGGACCTCTCACGCCGCCACCAGCAGCAGAAGGACCTCTCACGCTGCAGCCCTCTCACGCCGCCTCCAGCAGCAGGATGATCTCTCACGCCGCCACCAGCAGCAGAAGGACCTCTCATGCCGCCACCAGCAGCAGAAGGACCTCTCACGCCGCCTCCAGCAGCAGGATGATCTCTCACGCCGCCACCAGCAGCAGAAGGACCTCTACGCCGCCACCAGCAGCAGAAGGACCTCTCACGCCGCCACCTGCAGCAGAAGGACCTCTCACGCCGCCACCAGCAGTGGAAGGACCTCTCACGCCGCCTCCAGCAGCAGGATGATCTCTCACGCCGCCACCAGCAGCAGAAGGACCTATCACGCCGCCACCAGCAGCAGAAGGACCTCTCACGCCGCCGCAGCAGAAGGACCTCTCACGCGCCACCAGCAGAAGGACCTCTCACGCTGCCTCCAGCAGCAGGATGATCTCTCACGCCGCCACCAGCAGCAGAAGGACCTCTCACGCCGCCACCAGCAGCAGAAGGACCTCTCACGCCGCCACCAGCAGTGGAAGGACCTCTCACGCCGCCACCAGCAGCAGAAGGACCTCTCACGCCGCCACCAGCAGTAGAAGGACCCCTCACGCCGCCACAAGCAGCAGGTGTGATGTCTCATTGTGCCCGGCAGATTGCTTCAATCTATGGCACAGCCCCCTGTAGCGAGGATGCAGCATCACCCATCTCTCCGATAGCAGCAGGCTATCGTTTTCGAAACAGCGTAGGAAGATCCACGACGCCACATCCAGTGGCAAAAGGAAGATCCATGACGCTGCCTCCAGCAGCAGGAGGACCCTCACGCCGCCTCCAGCAGCAGGAGGATCTCTCACGCTCAGCAGCAGAAGGACCTCTCACGCCGCCTCCAGCAGAGGATCTCTCACGTCGCCACCAGCAGCAGAAGGACCTCTCATGCTGCCACCAGCAGCAGAACCTATCACTCTCACGCCGCCACCAGCAGCAGAAGGACCTCTCACGCCGCCACCAGCAGCAGAAGGACCTCTCACGCCGCAGCAGAAGGACCTCTCACGCCGCCACCAGCAGCAGAAGGACCTCTCACGCCGCCACCAGCAGCAGAAGGACCTCTCACGCCGCCACCAGCAGCAGAAGGACCTCTCACGCCGCCACCAGCAGCAGAAGGACCTCTCACGCCACCACCAGCAGCAGAAGACCTCTCACGCCGCCACCAGCAGAAGGACCTATCACGCCACCACCAGCAGCAGAAGGACCTCTCACGCCACCACCAGCAGCAGAAGGACCTCTCATGCCGCCTCCAGCAGCAGAAGGACCTCTCAAGCAGCAGAAGCACCAGCAGCAGAAGGACCTCTCACACCGCCACCAGCAGCAGAAGGACCTCTCACGCCGCCTCCAGCAGCAGGAGGATCTCTCACGCCGCCACCAGCAGCAGAAGGACCTCTCACGCCGCCACCAGCAGCACCTCTCACGCCGCCAGCAGCAGAAGGACCTCTCACGCAGCAGCAGGCTCTCACGCCGCCACCAGCAGCAGAAGGACCTCTCACGCTCTCACGCCGCCGCAGCCCTCTCACGCCGCCACCAGCAGCAGAAGGACCTCTCACGCCGCCACCAGCAGTGGAAGGACCTCTCACGCAACCTCCAGCAGCAGGAGGATCTCTCTCTCTTAGTAGCAACAGGCTACCTCTGCTCCTTCCAATAGTAGTTCAATAAAAACAAATAAACAAACAAACAAAAATCTATGGTTTCCATCTCCAAATTCCATAGTCTGAAACCATGAATTTTGACAAGCCATAAAGCAATAATTGATGTTCATATTTTTCAGAGAAACATTATTTTCAAGAGTATGAACTCTGAATTACAAGATGAACATATAAATTTACAAAAAAAACAAAGCCAGTTTGCGTCCACACTTCTCCAAAGTTGTCCTTTTGAACAATAACAATAACAGAATTACAATAACAGAAAATAATTTCTGAAATTATTCTGAAATGCATGGACAAAATGACCTGAAAACAGCCGCTCTGCGTGAGCTAAAGGCGAAACCGCGGACGGCTCATTAAATCAGATATAACTCATTGGATCTCTGCTGAACCGCATTACTTGGATAACTGTGGTAATTCTAGAGCTAATACATGCCTTTGTAGTCTCCGACCGCGAGGGAGGAGCGCTTTTATTAGACCAAAACCCTCGGCAGCCGGTTCCGCAAGGGGCCGGCCGCACACATCTTGGTGAATCAGAATAACTTTTGCCGAGCGCACGACCCCTCCCGTAACCCGGGTTGGGTCGGCGCCGCGTCCTGCAGGCGTCTGCCTTATCAGCTCTCGATTGTAGGTTAAACGCCTACAATGGCTATCACGGGTAACGGGGAATCAGGGTTCGATTCCGGAGAGGGAGCCTGAGAAACGGCTACCACATCTAAGGAAGGCAGCAGGCGCGCAAATTATCCACTCCCGGCACGGGGAGGTAGTGACGAAAAATACTGTTGCGAGCCCCGAACGGGGCCTCGCAATTGGAATGAGTACACTTTAAATCCTTGTACGAGGATCGAGTGGAGGGCAAGTCTGGTGCCAGCCGCCGCGGTAATTCCAGCTCCACTAGCGTATATTAAAGTTGTTGCGGTTGAAACGCTCGTAGTTTGACTTCTGCTCCGGACCGGCCGGGAAACCCTGGTGGAGGTCCGAAGCGTTTCTAACGTGCAAATCGATCGCCAGAGCTGAGTATAGGGGCGAAAGACCAATCCAACTATCTAGTAGCTGGTTCCCTCCGAAGTTTCCCTCAGGATAGCTGGCACTCGCATCGAACGAGTTCCATCCGGTAAAGCGAATGACTAGGGTGTTGGGGACGAAAGAACCTACAATGTAATAGTCAGAAACTCCGTGCTGATGCTGACAGACGAA